AACCAACATGTTTTACACAGGAATGGTCCTCTTGGGCACCACTTAATATTGAAAAGCAGTTTAGAGGAACATCTCTTTAAGGTCTTATACTTGTGAATTTCTAATGTGGAGCACTGAGGTTGATAAGAAACCTTTAGCCAATGAGACGTGATTCAGAATCCAAAATGAGAAAGAAAAAATTTTTGCAGAGAAATGGTGTGTCTACAATTGTTTGTCTGCCCAAGGCTGATCCACAGAATTTGAGCTGTTCTTCCCTCCTCTACACTCACCCCACACTCATTCCAAAACTCAGAACCCAGGGAGCCAAATCCCACCACGCCTGAAAGAAATTGAGTCCCAGGATGTTTGCCAGCATAAAGCCTTGGTCCAAGTGTTGTCCTTCTGCAAGCCTAATTCTTAATAAATATCCCTTTAACACTTGTAATTTGTAAAATATTGGGCTAGACTTGAGGCTTGAGGAATAGGCAAACATCTGTGTGTGTGTGTGTGTGTGTGTGTGTGTGTGTGTGTCTTTAGTTCCTTGACCACTGCTGGCTCACAAACTTAATTAAACTTAAAAAAACCTATTTTTTAGAAGTAAAACATATATTGTCTGATTTGAATCATTTAAGAGATGTTTGCAAGATGCAATTTGAAAGATCAAAAAGGCAGATTAAAAAGATTCCACCTGAAAAAGAAAAATCATACTCTTCTTAAAAGAATTCCAAAGTACATTAGCCCCTCCCTAGTTAAAGCACAGCCAGGGATTTCAAAGATTCAGATGCACTGCGGGCCAAACCATGGTCACCTAGTGGACTGTCTCTATAGAGTGATTGTCTCCTGTCGTCTCATGGCCACAAATCTCATCTCCCAACTCCGGTATTTTAAAGGCGGTTCCAAGGGGCACCATCCTTTAAAAAGCAGTGGGTCTAATGGCCAAGTATTAAGGTCAGCCCTCTGGAATGACACTCTGTGTCACCACGGGAGCTTGCTTAATCTCACAGTATCTCAGTTTTCCAATGGATAAAGTGACTATTATAATAACCACTGTATTCTCTCAGGGACACTGTAAAGACAGTTTTAAATTCTCATAGCAAGACTTATTATGCCAAATGAGGCATCTTCTGATTTCAGTCATATCTTTTTTTTTAAGTTTTTTAATTTTTATTTATTTATTTTTTACTTTTGGCTGCATTGGGTCTTCGTTGCTGTGCACGGGCTTTCTCTAGTTGCGGCGAGCAGGCGCTACTCTTTTTTTTTTTTTTTTTTTTTTTGGGGTACGGGGGCCTCTTACTGTTGTGGCCTCTCCCGTTGCGGAGCACAGGCTCCGGACGCGCAGGCTCATCGGCCGTAGCTCACGGGCCCAGCCGCTCCGCGACATGTGGGATCCTCCCGGACCAGGGCACGAACCCTTGTCGCCAGCATCGGCAGGCGGACTCTCAACCACTGCGCCACCAGGGAAGCCCGGGGGCTACTCTTTGTTGCAGTGCGCGGGCTTCTCATTGCAGTGTCTTCTCTTATTGTGGGGCACGGGCTCTAGGGGCACGGGCTTCAGTAGTTGTGGCACTCAGGCTCAGTAGTTGTGGCTCACGGGCTCTAGAGAGCAGGCTAAGTAGTTGTGGCGCACAGGCTTAGTTGCTCTGCAGCATGTGGGATCTTCCCGGACTAGGGCTCGAACCCGTGTCCCCTGCATTGGCAGGCAGGTTCTTAACCACTGTGCCACCAGGGAAGCCCAGTCATATATTTTCCAAATATATAAACACGTGGTCCGTTTATCAGCTAATAATAATAATAGCTTAATAATAACAATAAGCCTCTAATATGTCAAGCAATAAACTAGGTTTTTTGTTGTTGTTTTTTTTGCGGTATGCGGGCCTCTCACTGTTGTGGCCTCTCCCGTTGCAGAGCACAGGCTCCGGACGCGCAGGCTCAGCGGCCATGGCTCACGGGCCCAGCCGCGCCGCGGCATGTGAGATCTTCCCAGACCGGGGCACGAACCCGTGTCCCCTGCATCGGCAGGCGGACTCTCAACCACTGGGCCACCAGGGAAGCCCTAAACTAGGTATTTTTAAAGACACCATTTTATTTAATCCTCACAACCCTTGTAGTTAAAGTCAGTATCATTATTACCCATTTTTTACATGCGAGGGATCTGAGATTCGAACATATCAAGAGACTTTCCCAAGACCATACAACTAATCATGGTGTAAACAGAATGCAAACCCAGGTCTGTCTTTAGGATTCAAATTATAGTGTTATTTCCACTAGGTCAGGATTATTGTTTCCAATAAAATTATAATTTAGGAAGCACTTCTATAAAAGTTCCAAAAGATAAAAATTACTGGGTTATCATGATATTTATGATTGAAAATAATAAAATCAGTAGTATATTTGGTATATGTGGCTAAGTCCATATAGTCAGTAATTATAAAGTACCCAAAAAAAGCTGATTAAGCTCATCAAATAAATCAATTCAGTCAGGCAAATTAGACACTTATTAAGAAAGTCAGTCAAATTGTTTATGCTTTTTATCGGATTTTTTATTTCCCTGTGAGCTACACCGATGGGTAGAATATACTCACAAACAGGGTAAGATCTTCTCTGTTCTCAAAGGCCGTCATACAATGGGGTGGCATGGGGTCAGGGGAAGGTCTGGAGACTATTTTTAGCATTTCAAAGAGTCTAACAGATATCAAATATGTCTACGAGATTAGGTAGAACAGGCTAACTAAATAATCACATTCCTTAGATTTTGACCAAACTTACTTCAGCTCAATGCAATAATACTCATGATCTCATCTTGATCAGAAAGACTGATCGGGAGTTGCATGTGTCTTTGGTTAATAAAAAAGTGTCAAAAAACATAATGATTACTTAATGTCATAAAGGTATAGGTGCCAAGACGTTTATGCTTATTACAGTACTACAGGTATGGTATCAAAAGGGGTGGGAGCTGGAAACCAGATGCTCAACCATAAAGGAATAACTAAGTAAACTATAGCTTATTCATACAACAGAATACTATGTAACTATAAATAGGCCAGGCCAGGCATCACTTCAAGAAATGTGACAGAAAAAAATACAGAAAAACATAGAATAAAATAAGCTGGTCACAGAACAGCACTTATTACATGGATACTACATGACTTATGCTCTCACCTAGGTTAAGAAGATATGGATAGAGATATGTATTACATGGATAGCAATATGCATAGTCTCTATGTACTCAACACGTTAATAGAAAGGTGCAAAATTGCTTTAATAGAAAAGGAAGTGGAGAGAAGTAACCTGAACTGGTAACAGCAGTAATTTCCAGGAAGGGGAAGAAAACAGCGACAGATAAACAGGGTCTTTCGCTTTCTACTCTCAAACTTTATATGCCTTGAATTTGGATGATGAGTGTCAATTGTGTTGTAATTTTTTAAATTCATTAATAAAAGCAAGGGGGTCCTTTTGTTTGGTAAACCTTTCCAAACAAGGACTCCATATGGAAACAAAAAAGAAAATGAGTCCATGGTAGTGAAAACTAGATGACCCGCTAGTGCAGAAATACCCTTCCAGTGCACACACATAACACACACACCCACTCTACCAGGGAGAGATCAGGAGTGAAGCACTTATAAAGAAAGCTCTGTTTCCCATTGCCAGAAATCTCATTGTCGTGCAATGACTCTTCTCTGCAACCTTGAAAATACTGCAAGCTGGTAGCTAAGCATAGTAAACAAGTGGGAGGACCAGCACAAAGACACTTCAGGATCGCTGGCACCTTCCCGAGACTTGTCCTGCTCCCAACTGGACACAGGTGTGCCTGAGAGGGAAGCTGCCGCGTAAGCCCTCCCTGTGAGAGGCAGGACGAGCCTCTCCATTCCCCCTTAAATAAACATGCACCGGACCTGCTCCATCAGCCGTGGCAACGAGGGACTTGCCATCTGCCCAGCTCCAGCTCTGGCACAACAGCTCAGCCCATAATAAGAGACTTGGTGTGCGCCAGGAGTACGCCTAAAGCTCTGCTAAACATTGAGACTCTCTAAAAGATAAGAAACGGACTTCACAAGGCCTTGGAAATATGAACTTCTTAGGATATTCCAGTGTGACTATTTCAGAGTGAGTTCAAAGTAGGTCTCAACTGCACTGAGATTGATCAGGAGAAAAGAGGGGGAGCTTATCAGGACCTCTTCTCACACCTGTTTCACATTCAATCCAAATCTTTTACTTTAAGTTTCTTAGTTTGCCTCAGACTGGCCTAACCACCACGTATTTTTGTGCTCTCTCGGCCCAGGCTTTGCCAGGAACTAAACAAGTATGAGTCTCTGCCAACGCCAAGGTATTCGGTGGAAGGGGCAGACACCATCAGATAAAGGCCATGGAGGGCGTGGGGAGAAACGAACTGAGTAAGGAGGAAAGAAGAGAACTTGCAGCACAACTTCTGGACAGTTTTGCTGACAGCCACCCCTCCCTGCTTGTGGATAGGATGCTATGGGATGGGAGACGGTCTCTTCCCCCTCTCTGGTAAGGCTGCGGTAATGAGGCCAGAGACGTGGTTGTTACAGGGAGCAGGTAAGCCTGTGTGGCAATTAAAGAGCCAGACTTGCCAAGGTCAGCGCAAGCAGGTGTGGCCCGAGCCAAAGGAGACACCAGTCAAGCGGGGCTCTTCCAAGGGACGGGAGGAAAACCGAAGCAAAACGCTGCAAGAAAGAAAGAATGAAGGAGGGTGGAGCATATTAAAAGGTATAAACCCAAAGACTTATCAGGTCCTTATTTGTACTGTCAGTGGTACCTCTTCAGCATCTTCACCTTCAATACCATGAAAGAGCCTCTTAAAAGATTTGAATGAGGCGCAGAGGGAGCCCTGCCCGGGCAGGAGCGTGTGCAGCCCTCCTCCCGCGCTTGTCTCCGACCCCAGCTCCACCTCCGGGACAGGTGAGCAAGCACTGACTCTCCAACGATGATCAGGGTTTGGAACTGAGCAGGGGAACACGCTCTCCGGAGCAGGTTCAGTTCAACAGCTAAGGGGAGCCTCAGATGATCTCAGAAAGGGGGAGAAAATGACTATGACAGCTCACCTCTCCTCTTCTTGGATCTACATCAATGGGAGGACATGCGTTACCAGGAAACAGCTTCATTCTTTATTGAAGACCTATAACATCTTTTATAGGAACCAGAAAAATCTGCATATCTTATATGGACAGACTGACGATGGTAAACTAATGGTTGAAGTAACGCTGGACATTTTCTGGGGAGTAAAGCAGCCTATACAACTGAAAACACAAGATGAGAAGCAAATCCCTTCTTTCATTGTGCTGAAGTCACCAGATGTCTTTTCCAAAAGGGGAACGACACGCTGGGGAGAATTTCATGATCTTTACTGTATTAGTGATTTGGACAGGACTCAGATTCCAGTGTCTGGAGCAACAGATTCCCAGGAAGATTATTTATCTTATCACAGTAGCAGTCTGAAGCTTCATGCAGATGAAGAACCTGAATCCCCATTGCTCTATAGAACCAAGAGTGAAGCAACCCTGGTGAGAAAAAGGATGAAGCCTCCGATGATGGACAGAAAGGACAGACAGAAGCATAGGGCCCCTATGAACGGACACTTTTATAACCATGAAACATCAATTTTCACTCCAGCCATTGGATCAGAAACTAAGGTCAGAATAAACAGTGATATGAGAACTGAAGAAGTAATAAAGCAAATTCTCCAAAAATTTAAGATTGAAAATAGTGCCCGGGATTTTGCACTTTACATTATTTTTGCAACAGGAGAGCAAAGACGGCTAAAGAAAACAGACATTCCGCTACTGCATAGACTTCTACAGGCACCATCCAAAAAGAATGCTCTCATTCTCCTCATGGATAAAGATGCAGAAGAAATTAGCAGTGATGTGGCTCAGCATATTAACTTTCATTTTTCTCTCCTGGAATCCATCCTTCAAAGATTAGATGAAGAAGAGAAAAGAGAGATTCAAAGAACAATAACAAAATTTAGTACAGAAAAGGCTATCATGCTGAAATGTCTTCGAAGTAAACAGGAAATAGAAAATTTATGATTAAAAAGTTGCCAACAAAAAAGTAGCAAGTACATGCAAGCACAGAGTTCTACTAGATGCAAAAAAAATTCAAATAAATTATTCAAGTGAGATGTTAACATCACTACCATGGTAGTTTTAAGATATATGTATGAAGTCTTTGATATGCCTCCTCTCAAGATATGGGCTCGACTTAGTAACTCACTTCTAAGGAACAGAGGAAAGCAGAAGTGCCAGGGTGTGGCTTTGGAGACTAGGTCATAAAAGTCACTGCGGTGTCCTCCTTGCTTGTTCTCTTGGATCGCTGGCTCTGGGGGGAGCCAGCTGCCACATCCAGAGTAGCCCTAAGGAAAGGCCTTTATAACAGGAACTGAGACCTTCTTCCAAAAGCCCAAAAGCCAACAAGGAACTGAGGCACCCTGTCCACAGCCCACAGCCGTGGGAGTGTGCCATCGGCCAGCCCCCGTCAAGCCTTTAATGACTGCAACCCTGCAAAGAGCTTGACTACAACCTCATGAGAGACCTGAGCCAAAAATCCCAGCTAAACCGCTCCTGGATTCCTGATCCTCGGAAAATGTGTGAGGTACGAAATGTTTGTTGTAGTATGCTGCTACGTTTTAGGATAATTTGTTACATCACAATAGATAACTGATATAATTTCTGAGACAAAAATCTGTTCACTTCAGAGTCATCTTTACATAATACAAGAATATAAACTTTTGTCACAAAACCGTTCATCCTTGTTTTAGGTAGTCCAAATATTTCACCACCAGTTACATATTAGTTCAAATTCAGTTCTAGATAATGTTATACTTATTAATGGTAGAGGACCTGTCACATTCATCTTTGTATACTTTGTTGTACTTAATATGGTGTCCTGTGTATTGGATGTGCTCCATAAAAATCAATTGAATAAAAAATTAAATGATTTGAACAGAAAAAAAAACAAAGGCACACTCTTAGCAGCCTTTTTTTTTTTCTTTTGAAAGCCCTTAATTGACAGCATATACACCAGGCTGTCCACTGAAAGCTGGTGGTTTGCCAGACAGACAACGGGGCTCAGTGGAGCCCACAGCAGCCTGCCAGGCTCTCCGAGAGGGTCCATCCATGATGGCTCCTTCTTCTCTGTCCCCGAGACCCCAGGGCCCTCAGCCTCAGGGTGTTTCACCTTCCGTGGCCTCCAGCAGGATGTTCTCCTCTTAAATATCCATTCCTGTTTCCACCTGTCACCTCCCTGAAGTCTCAGACTCGATCACCCTCCTCACCAAACCCAAAGCCATCCGGCCCCAGGACCCATTCTCACTCACCCGAGCTCTCCACTAGCACTTCTCAGCAGCTGACTTTCACTGGACAGCCTCAGCCCTGACGCTCAGTCTGAAAAGCTGCACTACACACCCAGTATCTTCCCCCAAAATGTTGATGATCCTGAGCTAGAAGGCATGGGTTTACTTCTTTCGCTCACTCATTGCTGTTTACTATCTTACTCTTGCACTGGAGGGCAAACTTCATGTCGCCAGAGAGCTTGTCTTAGATGCCTCCACATCCTTGTCCCTGGAGAGGTGCTGCCCAAAACTACAACCTCAAAACACAACGCTTGAATAGTTGCTTTTCTTAATTGGGAGGTACTGTGATATTTGATTTCAAAGACTGTAGAAAGAAAAGAATAGAATGTATCTTATGAATAATTTTTATATTAATTACTTGTTGAAATGATAATATTTTCAATCTATAGTGTTAAAAAATACTTAAATTAATTTTACCTGTTTATTTTTTGTTTAATATGACAACTAGAAAACTTTAAATTACCTAGGCAGCTTACATTCTATTTCTGTTGAGCACCACTGACCTTGACTTATGCCTGGCACATTTTAGGTGGCCAATACTTATTAAATCCATCCATACATATATACATATAAAAGTACTGTGGCTCCTTGGACCCACCATTTAAACTGTCTAAGCCTCTTTTCATTTTTACTCTTTGACATGACAATAAAAATAGTTATCCCACAGGACTTCCAATGAAGACTAAATGAAATTAATGTTGCCCAAAGTTTAAAATATTACCTAAAGATATGTTATTTGTATTTAAAGAATGAGAATGCTTGAAGAAGGAGAAATGAAGTGTAATTGGATAATCCCCTAATTATTTAGACAGCCCTATTATCAGAACATGTAAACACTGAGAACAACTACTGTGAAAGGGATAGGATTAATACTCTGAAACCACATTCATTATCAATCTTACAATCAGAAATCCGACTTCAGCAGAAAATCAAGGGTTTGCCAAAATTATGGCAGAAAATAGATTTCTTTGACAGCTTAGGGAAAACATAGATACCTAATTATTTTGCATTCCAGATTTCAGCTTGGGTAGGGTGTTTCCCCTTTGGGTAATTAACTGTTCTGTTTGGTAAAGTACATTTTATAAGTCAAGTAGAAAATGGCTTCAAACTGAAAAATAAGATGGGATAATGAATGAAAAAAAGTCAGGTTAACTCAGGAAGAGACAAATCACAGCCATTGTGACCTGGGCATCCCTGAATGTCTATCAGTAACAACCGTATTCTCAACTCTCACTAATATGATTGAAATACACAATTTGGGGGGAAAAGCAGAACCAAAATATCCCGGATCTTCTTCTTTATCACAGAACAGGTGATTCAAATATAAGTGCTTAAGGTGGATAAAAATTCACCTAATTTGCAATCCAGTGAGTATCATATAAATTTAAGGGAAAGGTGGCTATTGACCTAATTTCAGGCTCCACATTTAAGCAAATGAAATCCACTTTTAAGAACTGACATACTCAGCTTCTTCAAAAGATACCTGTGAATAGGAAGTGTGTGTTTTGCTGTAGAGATAGAAGTCTTTGTTCTTTTTTCTCTCTCCATTACTACATATTTGTAATTCTCCACTGGAGGTGGTGGGAGAGTCTGCTCCTCAGGGGACATCTGGCTATGGCTGGAGACATTTTTGTCACATCGTGGGAGGGGTTACCAGCATCTAGTGGGTATAGCCATGGATGCTGCTAAATATCCTGCCAAGACAGCCCCCAGTAACAAAAAGTTGTCCAGACCAAAAGGTCAATGGTGCCACTGGTGAGAAATCCTGTACCAAAGGAACAGATGCCTATAAGATGTTTCAGGACTTTTTTAAGATCAAATTAGGTTGAGCACAGATGCCTATAAGATGTTTCAGGAATTTTTTTAAGATCAAATGAAGTTGAGCACAACCTTGATGGCCTCAGGCAACCATCAATGCTTGAATACAAGGCCAAGGAAACAACGAAAAAGTTAACTGGTTATAACTCATTATAGAAAAACTTAGGGATTAACCATTAGTCTATAAGAGCTGATCCAGAAAAAGAACAATGCTAACAAAATACTTAATGTAACTGAGGTACAATTTATAAGGATGAAAGACTTTTCCTTGACACACTTCATTCAACATTAACTCATTGAGTCTTTGGTCTCCAAGAGGGCTGTACTAGGGAATTTGGAGGATGTAAAAGCTGAAAATCCCAAAGTTTACCATCAGCAAACATACTATAGACTAAAGTTAAGACAGCCTTTGAAGAAATATCTCTGGAATTAAAGAAAATCTGGGAGGCATTGCACCAGAGGAAATAAGAATCCTGGCTTTGGAATCATCAAAGGACAAATAAGGACTGGAATCAAGACATACCCTGGGAAAGACACTTAATCCCTCTGAGCTTCAGATTTCTCATCTATAAAGTGGGGATAATAACACCTACTCAGTGGGGTAGGTGTGAGGATTATGTGCAATTATGTATGTAAATTGTCTGGCATGAAGCCTCTGCCATGGTGGTTGCTCAATACATGCTTCTTGATTACACTATTAGTGCTCTCAACTTAACTATACCTAAGTAATCATAGTGAAGTGATGTGAAAAGGAAGGCTTCTTGCAGGTGTTGTGGAAACACTGGGTTTTTTGAGAAAAAGCTAACTCAAAACAAACAAGCAAAAACTCTGAACTCCAAAAAACTATTATAAAAGAAAAAGGTAGTAAAGGAGTCAGGACACCTGGTTATAACAATACTGATGACAAATCCTAGAAGACACAGGAGTCTGTTAATGATGGAACATTCTCAGGTGAAAGGCACACTGCTCCAGAACACAGTACAATTTTTGTTATTTCAATAAAATAAGATGGAACCTGGACTTTGAGAAAAAATATGATACCTATAGCTAAGTAGAAATAATGAACTGGTTGCAGACATTCTCAGATCAAAGTTTATTTGCAAAAATCTTTTAGGATCTGTATGACAGCTCCTGGATGTTGAAAGGGTTTGAATCATAGGCTAAGTTAAAAACTAGTAAATATGTATTTTTTGTATTGGACATATTTTAAAACGTTCCATAGAAATCCCTGTTAACATCTTCGGTACTGTCACCAACAACAGATTTCTCAACAATTTTCAAGTATTTTCATATTTGTATTTTAAGTTTTTATTTGTCACCATCCTAAAAGATCAATAAGGCAGGTATTAATATTCCCATTTTGTTGGTGAGTATATAGAGACTGTGAGGTTAAATAATTGGGGAAACTTTGCCACAAATTGGTGGAAAAAATCTAGCACTCTCTCTCTTCAGCCTTCTTTTCATATAATAAGTATTTCTTGTCACATACATAATTAAATTTAATGTATTTTTGAGCTTCTAATCAACAAAAATAAGTAGCTCACCGTTAGCTTCAAAGACCTACAATCCAGTATGTACAGAATTATAACACAGGGTTGACATCATGACATAAGGAATGTGCAAAAAACATGCTCTGTGAATTGAAAGGAGGGAGAGATCATATGAAAAAGGCAGGAAAGACAGGAGGTAACATTCCAAGGGGGCACAGATGTATGGGTGGCATTTTTACAGAAGATGCAGAGAATGAGGTTCCACAGAAGAAGGAGAGAGAAGAATACTTCAAGGTATTTTCAAGGATCAGAGAGGGGAAATTTGGCTGGAGCATAGGGTACCACATGCACAGGAAAAGTGGGAGTTGGA